GGATGGGAGCAGATTATTCTGCCATTTTTCTAAATCTTTGAGTTGCACCTCAAACCTTGGGCTGATCACTCCACACTTATTTAACCTGCTGTGAAGTTCACAACAGTTTTCCCAGCTCTGTGATCATCAATGATTTCAAATTTGCCAATGTAACCATGCTTCATCATCACTGTTAGAAACTGGACAATGACTTTGGAGCACGGCTTTATAAAAACCTGGCGTTTGCCTCGCTTTTCAGCACTGTTGATGCTCATAAGAGCATCGGACAGGACATTCGTGTACATCATTATGGCGGCATGGAAAGATGGTGGAAAAAGCCATTTTTCACTTTTTCTTAAGTGAGTAATTTAAAAAAGAGAAAAAGAAAAAGAAGTGGGTAATTTTTATGATATATTCTCCATACTTGTTTCATATTATATCCTAGAAAGATGCCAAAAGCTATATAGTTACAAAAGAAATTACAAATTCCATCAAAAGAACTAAAAATTACAAAGTACAAAATAATGACCTATTATTTTTTCTTTGAATTTTCCCTGAAAAGTTTCTCACACTTTATCTGTCACCTATCTTAATTTTTATCTCTAAGATGTAAATCTTTGAGGAATTTTATGCAGGTTTTACAATGATCATTTTAAGGTACATGGAATTGTTAGTTCTATTTACCACAGAGAGTTCATTAGTTCTATTTAGTTATTTTTTAGTTCTAGAACTAAATCATGAGTTTTATTTACCACAGAGAGTCCCTGAGCTACAAACATCCCACTGACATGAGGCTCACTCAAGAGTGGGGATAATAGGTACCTGTTCCAACTTGCAACAGGTTCGACTAAGAACAAACCTACAGAATCTATCTCGTTCATAATCTGGAGACTACCTGTAATATGTTTAAAGACTTAAATCAAAGTGTTTAGCTTACTTAGATACTTTGATATCCAGATCAAATAAAATATAGGAGGCTAGAATCAAGTACATGCCAGTTCATCTTTATTTTGAAGCTGAAGCAAACTGGAATTCCGAGAAACACAGAACTTCCTACTTTCATTCCAAGTTTTCTCTTCAGTAGAAATGAAATAACAGTTGCAACGGTACCCAACCCACTTCTCTGGGCAATAACAGCAGTTGGAGGCTAAGAGAAAAATATAAAACATCACAAATAACATTGGATATTTCAATGTTTTATTAATATTTAATTATTTAAAAATAATTTTCTATTTATTCATTTATTCTATAGATATTCTTTGAGAATCTTCCATATATACCACTGTTCAGACTTTTAATATGAACAGAGTATATATGATACTTTCTTCTCATGAAGATTATGTTCTAAAAATAGATTCAGAATGACATAACTTCCAATTATTTCTTAACTTAATTATAATGTAATTTAGGGGAGTTTACAAAAGAAATTCAGTATGTTAAAACAGTACATGGTAGCATATAGAATGGGGGCATTTGATGAAACTTTTTGAAAGAAGTGACCCAAAGCTGAGCACTGTAGTATACATAGGAGTTGAACAAATGAAAAAAGATATAAAGGAGGAAAATATTTTACAATAGTTCCTATGTCAGAAGAGAATATTAATATTATACAATGGAAGAATTCTGATGTAGATTTGGACATTTTACTATTAAAAAAAAAGATAAGCCAATTAATATAAGGTTGGATAAGACACTTTATCAGTGATGTCTTCATAACTACTTGTCCACAGTAATACTTAGTCATGACACATGGCAGTCACTCAAATCTTTGCCTTGTAAGTGTTGGTGAGGTGTTGATATAAGATAAAAAATATAAATGAAGTCCTCACAGGGTCACAGAAGATCATGAGAAAACAATGTTGGAGAACTGGAGGGAAATATACTTAAAACATTGGACTTTGAGTTGCATTCACTGGATGAGGAAGGCTTAGAATTGCAGAAATCTTCTGACTCATAAAAGAAGCAAAAGAAAAGTAAAGAGACATGAAAGTAGAGGTTATACACAGACAGGTAATAGAGATAAGCTGTAATATTTACTACAGATTTTTATTTGTTACTTAATCATGAACAGTTACATAGGAAACATAGCTGTCATTTCAGGCTACTTTTTTCTTACTAATTATATATCATAATTATTTCCTTATTAATATATAAATGATGCACATTCAATGTAGTGTAATTCTTCTTACATTAGAGAACAATAAAATGAGACTACCCTACAGTTAATAGGAAAATGTGTATTGCCCAGTATAATATCGATTTCGCCTTGCTCTTTTCCGTAAAAAACAAAAAACTGTAGAACCTACCTTCCTGGAGTTCTTTGTTGAGTCCTGGAGAGACAGGTGAGTCATTATGCAGTTCAGGAAATGCTATAAGAAATGGTTAGAAATTTTCTTAACTAGGTATATGATTATGAAATAATAAAATAGTACATACTCAGTATTAATAAAATGAAATTTTTATTCTTAAATTATGTCCTTAAACTTTTAATTGTTGCATAGACTTCTCTAGAAAAACTTACGCATGTGCAACAACAAAATTCCCAAAGTAGCGGCCAACAAAAGGCATATTAGTCCTAAGGTCCCAGAAATCAACCTCCACTGAGTGGTCTGAAACACTGTGGAGAAAGACAAACAGAACAATGACTTAAAGGACAAACACAGGGGCTGAAGTTCTTCAAAACAGAGTTCAGTGAGTAGCATCCAAAAAATTCTTGCATTTGATAATGGCTAACTCATCAATAAAACTCTAAAAGATGAAGACATTCCATCAGGACTTCACCCACTATCAACAGTTTTCTGCCATGTACCTTGTTCTTCAGTGTGAGTATCCATATGTTTTCTTCTGCCTCAGCTCTGCCTCAATAATGTAGATTTACCAGCTTTCCCTTTTCTGAGACAGTATTTCACTCAGTCTCACTGG